ACGAGTCCGGACGTGAAGGAGCTATTCCTGTAGGTGTCGGTGGCTAAATTTGGGTAACGTCTTCGTCATGGCTATTTTAAGGATCTGGATAACCGATGATTGGTCGACTTGAAGCAACCCACTGAGGGACGAAACGTTCCATGCTTTGAAACCTCAAGAAACTCTTTCACAAGCACCGAGTCCTCGTCGTGAGAATAAACTTGTATATTTAGGGTGTAAGTTGTAAAAAAAAGCTAGTTTCAAGATCTCCAGAATTCTGGGCATGCAATACAAAGGACTGTCTATCATAGCTGTAGTTGAAAGATTGGATCCATAATTTGAGAACGGACGAGGGAATCACAGTTAATATTGTAATCATTCGTCGGATAAGTAACGTTGCCCTTTTTTGGATAGAAATTTTTACCAGAGATGCCCCAAGAAGCCTATGTGATGCAATGGTCCTCCAGATTCACCTCACGGCAAAAATTTTGTTGCCCATTTGTGAAAACGAGAGAATCCTACGAGTTTGGTCCGCCTGTGAACTGAATGGCAAAGGCCTTCTGAAGATGACTGGAAGGACTCCTCCGTGCATACACGGTAACTGACAAAGTTTTTCTCGTGTTTCCTTGTTCCTCCTTCTTGAATTGCTTAATTGCAAGTCCTCTCGAAAACGCTGCCATCATCTTAAAACAAAAAGGATAAAGCATTTGTTGATCAATCCCTTTTTGGGATGCGGCACGCATTCTACTTCCATTTGTACATTCGTAGTGGCGTTTGAATGCGATGTGGCCTATACAATGACTTGCGGGCCAGCCGATGTACAAGTCAGTGTTTTTATCCTCCCAGACAAGTCTGGTACCAATTAACCGACCCCGGAGGGATGGAAGGCTTGGTTGGCCCGGGCGACTCACGACCCAGGATTTGATCCCCGGACCGCGCGTGGTAAGCGCGCCACTTGCCACCACACTATCTTCAGAGACGAAGAAACTTTGGTTCAGCATCTATCATTCGTTTGATCACACAACTTTGTTGATGTTGATATGAAGTGGGTTCTTAACGTGAACTTCATACGAAATCATCGCTTACTCACTCATTCACCCACGGAGCAGGCAACCAAAGATTCCAACGGCGAGTCCAGCACTGCAATGGAAGCAACCTTTAGCTTTCATAAAACTGCAAATACCTCGCTCATTGAGAGCTGTCACCAATGAATATTAGTGCCATAGTCAAACAATAACGTAGTTCCTAAATTTCCTTCGAGCCAGATGGTAACGCTTCCAGAATTATGCATGGAAAACTCGGCAGAGTTTACCCTTTTTCGGCCACGATCGTCTCCTAAGGGTCCATCAAAAGGCTCACGCCCCTATAGGTTTCCTTATAAGTTCTTACCTATCTGATGTATCCAGCACACTTGCCACCAAAGACTGCCATCTTCTTTCCTTCATTCCTCCTAATACGAGAAAAATGTATTTGATCAAGAGAGAGCAAGTACAGGGTGGGGCATAATTATGGTAGCAAGATTGAACTTCAGGCAAGGCATTTATTCATCAATGTGCCGAGCTTGTCTGTGCTGATAAGCCATCTCTGAGAGAGGGAGTAGGACGATCTAGATCTACTCGAAAAACGCTTTCTAGATTTCTTAGCCTCGAGAGCTTCCCAAGCATTTCCAGACAAGCGGCATCCCTGGTTACCTGCCGAAAAGCAATATCTCGCCAATGATAAAGATGCATACATTTGTCCTTCCTTAACAGTGATAGAGAAGAAAAATGAATTTGAAAAAAATGGGAAAGTGACCGAAAACCTTTGCGACCACCTGTTGTGAAGGTACACTCATAATTACTCATACTATAAAAGAACAAATTGAATCAGCTAGCACTTTCCGCTCCGCTCTCCTTGATTTTACGCACTTTCGATACAGTGAGTTGCGCATTACTGCATAGCTTACATAAAAAATAATATGCAGTGTAGTCATTGTATGTCGAACAATCGAACACATGCAGACAAGGATACAGATGTTTCTGTGGCTCCACCGACACTAGTTCACGGCCATATTCATCGTACAAAGAAGTTCTCTTTTCTGGGGTTTAAATGAACACGATTGTCTGCTTGGAGGGCTATCATTGATAACTGAGCAATATCGAAAGTCTTGCTGGGCCACGGGTCGAATGACTTCATGGTTCCTATAGAAGTCGATAGCCTGTGTTTGCAGGGGTTTAGAATTACGCTACTGATTTTGCTCTTCTTTGAACAGTTTAGAGTTTGCGATGATAGAATGTTCACAGTGGAATACAAAAACCGAATCCTTTCCCACAAGTACTCTTTGTAACAGGTGATCAAAGGATGTCTGCATTACAGACTCCACAACACAAGTGGCGACATCCTCCAAAAAAGTCTGATAGCTGCTCTAATGCCAATTTGGCTCAAGGAGTCCTTTAAAGTTACGAGCTGCTATCAGCTTTTTTCCTATGTTATTTCTTCAGGTGTTTTGTGTAATGTATGTATTCTTGTACTAGATGACATTAACGTCTACGAAAAGTAATATTCACCTAGTCAGCAGGTCAGGACTAAGCTAGGAGGGGAGGAAGTCCCCCGGGGAAAACCAAGATTGCTCACGGACCCGGGGCTCCTTCCCTTCTAAGGCTTAGTCCTGAACGTTTACAATGAAAGAATATGCTTTCCGTGGTTTTAAATGCTCTGAATCGCTATGCCCCCTTACTGGATGAGACCCAGAGAATAATTACTTGTTTCTTCAAAATGCTGCCTCAAAAGGCGTGGAAATGGTGCACATTGTGGGCGATAGGTAAATATTCTTTTTTCAGCATGTGCCAGGAAACTTTTACATTTTGTGGAGGCCGTCGTCAATTGTGTTGTGAAATGTGCAGTGGACACGACCTGGCCACCGGATACAAATGGTATGTTTTCGTGACTGTCCCGTCTAATTGGTCACCCATTAAAAATTGATATCCGCTAAATTTTTCACAAGGTAGTGCAAGAGTTCTTCTGCAAAAAGCCCTATAGAACGATAGGACGCCCCATCTTTGATCAATTCAGCGAGACAACAAAATAATTATGCGCATACCTTAATCTTTGGTTCTGTTTTTCTGCACGGGCTTCTCAGTGGTTGCAAATGATACTAAAGTGCTTGAAATCCATCGTATGGAAGGGACTCATCTCGCAATAAGTATTTTTGCATTAAAATAATTATTATTTCTAAGCATCTCACCACTGGTACTGGACTGTACAGATATCCCACCTGGAACTCCAAAACGATTATCGGCTAAGCTGGTTCCAAGCACCAGTATCTTAGAATAAGCAATTCAGACCTGCATCAAAGTCCAACGAATCCCAAACTTGCACGAGATTTAGATCAAGGCTTTCGTGATAAGCTGAAGGAAATCCAGGCAGCACTGTTGATGCTCTTATTTCGAGGCATAGATAGCCGGGTGGGTTCGAGTGTAGGCTCATGTCTGCACCTTCGAAAACCGCGAGTTCGATCCCTGCCGAGGCTCCCAACCATGCAAAAATTGCAAAAATGGTTCTAGTACCAGCGTCAGGCCCAGGTTGACAGGACGGCCGATGAAGACCCCAATCACACAAAATATGCCTAACGTTGGCTGCGGACCTTGCGACTATGCAGTACCAACTCTAGGTAGAAGAGAAAGACCTGAATGCTATTGTTTTATTGAAGTTCGAAAATACCGGATACATCACCAACATTATGATGAGTGGTCATATTCCTGTACAGGGTGAGCTGTTCATTTTCTATTTTCAGACAAGATAACAAAAGTTCTGAGACGGATTATCGCCGATTTCGAGCACAAAATGACTATAATTCATGTAAGCGGCTCGGATCAGTAGAGCTATTTAGCGATCGTAATCTGCAGGATGTGTGATCGTGAAATATCTGCATGGAAGGACTCACCAGGGACATTTCTAATTAGCAGGGACAGATATGAATACAAGAAGCATTTGAACCATCTCCAAAGGGCCGATACACAGATTCAGAGTGCTTGATTGTTCGCTTATATTCGCTATATACAGCCAAGTTTTAATAAAAAAGGATAAAAGGATAAAGCATTTGCCGTTGATCAATCCCCTTTTGGATGCGGCACGCATTCTACTTCCATTTGTACATTCGCAGTGGCGTTTGAATGCGATGTGGCCTATACAATGACTTGCGGGGGCCAGCCGATGTACAAGTCAGTGTTTTTATCCTCCCAGACAAGTCTGGTACCAATTAACCGACCCCGGAGGGATGGAAGGCTTGGTTGGCCCGGGCGACTCACGACCCAGGATTTGATCCCCGGACCGCTCGCGTGGTAAGCGCGCCACTTGTCACTACACCACTTCCGCCCTAAAAAGGAAATAAAAAAATCCAAAATGGCCAATTCTAAGCCGAGAATTTAAGCTAGTTTTTGCTGTCAACCGATCGTCTTGGCCGTGAACAGTGTAAGAGCGACTGGCGGAGTGGATAACGTGAGCTCCTGCCCTGCAGAAACAGGTGGTTCCCCTGCCGGAACATGGCCATGCCCTGCCACGCTCGTAGAGACGTGGTGGCAATCAGTGTCAAACCCAGGTTGACAGGACAAGGCCCCTAGTCATGAGACAATGATTGGAACGAGCAAAAGGACTCCTAACCTACACTTTCAGGACTAAATTAATCACACTTTGCTCTATTGAAACCCGATACCTCCAACCAAAATTTGAAGAGCACTTACGAATGCTATTGAACAATTCTCATGAGCATCCAACCGAAAGCGAATCTAAAAGTGCCTGAAATGGTGAAAGACCCAAGCTCAGTAGGGTTCTCGACGGACCGTAGGTCACGACATTGCCTGGATTGGTGATCGGCAGCAGTCTTGTATAGCCGAAGCTGCTGTGCTCACAAAACTGTCCATCAGAGAATCGTTAGTAGCTCAGGTAGCAGCTTCAGTCAGCGGCAGGAGGGAAATCTAATAGAGCTCGACGGCGATTTCATCTTTTGAAAACAACGAAAGTAATAAATTCCAAGTTCACTCATCTTGAAAGCTCGTTGTTCTCGAGCGTTGTCCATTGTGTTGTCATTGTAATTGTGAGTTGTACTGCTTGAAGTCATGTTTAGGCCTTGTAAGCGACGGGACGGTCGAAACGTTGGCCCTGATCAAAACTTCCACCTATAACACGTTGAGGCAGGAAGTACAATTCACAATTAATAATGAGAGCAATATTAAGGGAGATCACCTATGCTTAGGGAGGCGGCTTATTGAAAATATTGCTCTCTAGTACTTCATCAATCGCTGTGTGGCTACTGTCGGCGGTGTTGCCGGCCATGAGCACACATATTATCCTGGCCCCAACCCACCCCTCGCACTGAGTGGTGTATGTGCATAATTAAGGATGGTCGCTGGATTTCTAACATTTTTTCCTTCCACCTTCTACCTGCAAAACATGAAACGATCCCATTATTGCGCCCCAATTGCAATAGCTGGCAATTGCTAGCAAGTAGCCAGCTATTGCAATTGGGGCGCATTTACTGCGGGCATGTTCATACAACTCGTCCAACGAGCGTCTTCCTCCATTGCTAAGTGGCGAGGGGAGCCCCTGTCTAATTCCCTGTTCGACGTCTTTTTTGAACTTTTCTTTCATTATTGGTCAACTTTGCACCCACAACTTCATTATCGGTGGTTTTTTGCCCGCGAATTCGTTCTTGAACTGTTGCTTTTAAAGTTAAAGAAGGCAACCCGACAATATATACCTACTGCGGAGAAGTATGATCGACAGCGATAGTCTATCACGTAGCAGATTCTAGGTATCGATCAATAAGCGAAAGTTCTGGAGCTTTCAAAAAATCGGCTCAGGACTTTTTTACCACCAAGTATAGAGTAAAGAATTAGTTACAGCACAATTCGTCTAGATGTGATTCCACGTAGGCATTTTGTATCTTGGCCTCAAGACTCGAGTACTTAGAATGATTTGAGCTCATGGCTTACAGGAAGTGCAATTCTAAATTCCACCATGCGAATCGGCCAGTCGTGGAAAAAAGTACGCCGGAACTAATTTTTTAGGTCGTTGTCTCTAATATGACCGTGGTAGTTGCTTCTCTTATGACCTCTGTGTATAGCAAAAACCATTTTAGCTCCTAGCTGAGATCAACGGAGCCGTAATATTTACCAATACAGAGAAAAGCTTACAATTTCATTGACAAGCAAAAATAAACTTACGATGCGAAAAAAGGAAAGCCAATTCTATCTACAATAGAACGAAAGATAACAACAGCAATAAAATACGCGGAAGCCAAATGGAAAAGAGCCAAAATGTCCTCCGTAGAAAGTTTTTCAGCACACTTCAACGAGGCAAAAAACATTCCTAAATGTTTCGTGTGAAGCGAGTCGATCAATACGCATTCAATCCGAGTAGTTCATTTCAAATAGAATGCTGGTACAAGCTAGCTACTCTCACACTTCAGCGCCCAGTCGATTCGAATGAAGCTGAATCTCCATACATAGTGACTACCAGCTCATAGTCTAACACGAGATTCAGAACAATTTCTCTCGGAGCATAAAAGAGAGATAGAAAAAACCTACAGAAAGAGAGAACACAGCGTCAATAAAGACAAAGGCGATGACGAACGCAATAGCTCAGAATCAAAATAGGAATGATCAGGTATAGAGCTGAGATATACGTACGATGAGGTAATCGAATAATGATCGAATATCCGAAGCTCAAGAAATCAAAGAAAAGAAGCCTGGACTTTTTTGTTGGAAAAAGGTTTTGTGCTTATCAAAAGGGTTTGTGTACGTGAGAAGGGGGGGGGGGACATTTGGTGCAAAACATCTACCACCTGCAGTTATCCCAAATTTTTCAGAGGAATGACCCATTCCGCTTTAACGCCCTTCCCCCTCAGGGGTTTCTGACCTGAAAAAAGCAATTGGGTTCACCGTAGGCTGCACGAA